GTGATAGCAACAGGTATGTTCTAGTCACTGTATTGGACCAAAGAAATGAGAAATTCCCCTTTAAAGGTGTGTTATTATTTTAAGACTAATTTCTAGGTATTTAAATCCAGTGTAAAAATTAATAAACTCTTTTTTTTTGTAGTATCTCTATGCTCCTAGGTCACTGTGTGTAAAGATTCCAGATAAGTTTAGAATCTGCTGCTGTGCTCAGCGTAAGAGAGGCAAGATTTTCTTATAAAGAGGTTATACCTTTTCATTAGACAAATTGATACTTATTTGAAAAAATTAGGCACATGTTTGCTTGTGCAGCCACCTTTCGGGTTTCGAGTATGTTGGCGTATTTGTTGTCCTTGCCTTGATTTGCGCCGGGGGAGGTTTAGATTGGATATTAGGAAAAATTTCTTCACTGAAAGGGTTGTCAAGCATTGGAGCAGGCTGCCCAGGGAAGTGGTTGAGTCACCATCCCTGGAGGTATTTAAAAGACGTGTAGATGAGGCGCTTAGGGACATGGTTTAGTGGTGGACTTGGCAGTGTTAGGTTTATGGTTGGACTTGATGATCTTAAAGGTCTTTTCCAACCTAAATAATTCTATGATTCTATGATTTGAAAGATTTGGTGAATCTTATATAAACATTGTAGCTCTTTATAGGTGACCTGGATTGCCTTGTTTGGGCTACGGCTGAGCTAACTAGCTTTTGGTTACCCTTGTTGTTGCATTAACCCTTGGTGGATGTAGAGAAGCTGTATTCTGGTGTCCATCCACTGTTTGCTTCCTTTACCAGCATTCAGATGTATCCTAGAGTCTAGACTTTGTGTTCAAACCAAACAAAAAAAAAAAAAGCAGGTTGGTTGAAGCTGCTAGACCAAACTCACTGATGAATTCCACAGATCGATTGCAGCTAAATAGATGTTTTTCCATTCTTAACTTACTTTCTTTAACAGAATTTTATTAAACAATTATATGAGGCTAAGAGCTTCTTTATGTATTTTTCTTGGATATAGTTGAGAAGCATAAAGTATTTTGTCTTGGACTCTGTCCTGTCTTCAATGAAACATTGTAGTTAATATGCATGGGAAAAGAGGTTTCATTTTGAGAATCAAGGCTATTGCTCAATAAATTGTCTTATTGTCCTAAATTGTCATAATATTCTTAAAGAATGTTTCCAAATATTGGAACAAATACAGAAATGATATTATTGTGCCATAGAAAGGAAAGAATACATGACCATTCTTCTGCTTAATCAGCCCTATCATTAAAACAGCTATGTCAGCATCCTTTTGTACTTGCTCCTTTGCTACAGTGCTAAAGTAGAGCGGGAGACACAGGATTTTCTCAGGTTTAGTAGCTGACCTATAAAGCTATTAGAGTCACAGGTTTTAAAACTGGGACATGGACAGCTATTGTCCATGGACATGGACAACTATTCTAATAATCTGTGTACCCAGGCATATATATGGAAAGTCTGTTTACCAACCACAAGTGACCATCTTTAACAGGCTATTTTTTCCTTTTATATAATTACTTTGTAGTACTTGAGAAATATTGTTACAGTGGAAGGATATTTCACTGGTGAATGTGTTTGAACTGGACCTGACAAGCTGTTTGGTGAGGAGTCTGGGGAAAGGAGTATGCTACAAAGGCCTTCACTCCCACCCCTCTTTCCAGAGTCAAGGAGCAAAACTGGCTTGCATTCAGGTTCAGTGTAAACTTGGGGAAAGTGGGGAGTCTGGAAGTCTTGGAGGGCAAAGTAAAAAAACAAAACAAAAAACCAAAAAACCACCCCAAAACCCAAAGAGTAAAAACCTTTTACCACGGATCATTCCTAATGTAGTAGAAAAAAGTATAGAAAACAGAACCATCCTTCTAGGAATTACTCTGGTATATTTATTGGGATCCTCTTGGGACATCAGATGGGAAAACATTTAGTATCCAATGCAACCTTGTAAGACCTATATGGCCCTGTTTTCAGTGGTTCTGGTATATAACAAGTTAAAATGGATACTGTCTGTAGTTGGCCTCTTATTTTTGGCAGCTGCTTTTAAACAAATTTTATTTATAATGAAATTGTTATAGAGCATTATGAGAAGTTCCTCTTGTGCTAGAGGCAGATGTGCATTAGATTAATAATGCACTGTAGTTGAAAAATACTGCTTATGTGCTTTAAGCTTTGCCCCTGCAAATGCCCACTTCTGAGGGGTAGTACTTCTTATTTGGAATAGATATAATAATCATTAATCTTCTTTAGGGACCACAAACTGAAAATGTATGAAATGGCACTGGATAGGGATAGGGAAATTGCTAATTATTGACACATTTTTCCGTAGTTAGAGCTAAAGTTTGTATTTGGTTGACTAATATGAACAATTTAGGAGATAAATACCTATTAGGACTGCTTGTATTGATGAAGCTTTTAAACTTGCCAGAATTTAACAAGGCAGTCCTGCTAGAAAAATGCCACATGCGGTAAATAATCACTGTAAATTATGAATGTTATTAAAAAAAAAAAGGGACTAGCCAGACTTGGCAGAAAATTATTAACTGTGAGAATGGTTTCAGTATGTGCCAAGGATGTGTTTGAGATCAGGTTCCATAAAAGTTAGATTCATGAAGGGAAGACCTTGAGCTGCATGGCTATAAGGCCTTTTCCAGCTGTTTAATCTTCACTTATGGAAATTAAAGCTTCAGTTTTTCTGTACTAAGTATTTTTGGTTACTTTAGTTCTTTGAAGCTGAAGAGTATCTAGCAAGAGACCTAAAGTGTTGAACCCCAGCACTGTGAACTACTAGAGACTATAATGACTAATCAAAGCCAAAGTATTCTCATGCTTGACTTGTCCAGTAATGCCATCCCATAGAAAATACACCACCAGCTTGGGAGTTGCCAGTGTTTATTCAGATGTAACTTCCAGTTGGTACAATATCTGCCTGAATTCTCAAAGGGCTTAAAACGTGCTCTCTGTATTAATCACAGAGTCAGGAAGTGGGAATGCTTTGCCACAGTGGCTCTGCTCTTGCACAGTTCAGCTGATGAAGGAGGAACAGAGTTTTGAAGTTTGCTGTGTCATATCAGGGAGATTTCCGAGTTCAGCTTTGCTGTCAACAAGAATACTAGGGTTTTTTTCTTTAAAAGGAAAAGCTTAGTCTGGATAGAGCAGTAATGAATAGAATAATGAGCAGTGGCCCAGTCTCTCCCTCACTATCTGATGAACAGTGAGCACTGCAGAAAGCCATGAAAACCAAGAGGGTTGCAACTCTTTTGGCCTCTAGATAAATCATCTCCAAAAGGATTTGCTATCTGGTATGAAAATGAGTGAATAGATACTGTTAAATGAAGATGCTATTCTTCAAATAATAAGTAATTTCCATTCTAGAGTAGATAATTTATGCCTACTGCCCAGGCAGGAATTGTGATTAATATGCTGCATTAGCTGCTCAAGCAGATAAAATCTCAAGAGCTAAAGATCTTGTTTTCATGCAGGTAAGGCTAGTAAGAAGATAAAGGAAGATAAAACCCTGAGAAAGTCATGTAATGCACAGAGCAAGTTATACCCTGTTGAAACTGTAAAGTCTGAATGAAATGTTATCAGACTTTCCTGTAAAGAAAGTAGGGAGAAAGTTTTATAAATTGGGACACCCCAAGCTCCACACCTATGACATGATAGAAATGGAACTGACCTGTTTTGGCAAAGAGAGTGTGATGGCTCTTTTTTCATTCTCTACATAAACAGAGCAGTGCTTTTTTTCTTTCTTCAGAAAATGGTGTGTCTCACAGGCGGCATGGGCCAAACACCACCATTGACAGCAGGTGGGGTTTTGAGTCTCAGATTAGTTGCAACAAAAGGAGACTTCTTTTGGTGTTCTCTTTAGTCTGAATCTAATACACCAAACTCCAGTTAGGTAATCTTTTATCTCTTAGACCTATAAATTAAGGGTAAATTGTTTTCTATATTTATGCTATTAAATTTGGTAAAATCCAAAAGGATTCCCAGGGTCATCTAGTTTAATCTCAACTACTAAGCAAGTCTCCACACTCTTGTATTCAGCAATCTGTGCTCATTATTCATCTGATCTCAACATTTTTTTCCAGAGTTATATCCCAGACACACATTTGTCAATGTAGCAAATCAATTTCTTTCCTGCTAGCAACCTTCTTCTCACTGACAAATTCACACTTTCATTTTAAGATGCATAATAAAGCATTCGGGTCATACAGAACACTTAAGATGGGTGGTCATAGTAGTAACTAGAATGAATACATGAAATCTAGAAATTTCTTCTCCTATAAATGAAACTAATGTTCTTGTCCACAACAGATTTAATTTTGAAAAGCACATTAATGACAAATTTATGAAACAGAGGTTGTTATTTTCTTTCATTAAAACGTCAGTATATCATGCTGTTGTTTTCTGTATGTACACGAGATGTAGATGAGACAGTTCCAGTATTGTTCCAGTGGGAGTCAGTTGTCAAGTAGGATTTTTTTTTTAAAGTTTGGTAATCGCTCTTCTACTCTTGATTAAAATAGTTTCTCCATTTTAACTAGCTTGCACTGTTTGGCTAAATGAGTCATTAGTCTTTTCCTTTATAATATTTACTTGGTTATCAATTATCTGTTTGGAATTGTTCTGAAATATGTGGGAGGACTTCTATTTCAATGTATCTTTAGGGGGGGTTATGGTTTGGTTTTGACAAGCTATGTCATCAGCAAATACTGTGTAGGTTTCTGCCATAACTGTGAATACATTAAATGCTGGACTGCCAATGTACAACTTGAAACAGTATTTGGAGGCTCTAATTTTGACTGAAAAACCCTGTATCTCCAGATTTTAGCCTTTTTTTGTATTATATTAATGCATTATTTTTAAAGTACTGTATGTAATTATACTGTGAGGCATTTTATCTATCTGTGGTTATACAGGTCGTTGAGAAATTGTGCAGAAACAAAAACCAGAGTGATGAAGTACAGTAAATTTGCATGAATTATCCTCCTTCTTTCTTAGATATTTGGGCAATTGGCTGCATATTTGCTGAACTATTGACTTCAGAACCTATATTTCACTGTCGTCAGGAGGACATCAAAACAAGTAATCCTTTTCATCACGATCAGCTAGATCGCATTTTCAGTGTAATGGGATTCCCTGCAGGTAATTTATTTTCATTAAAGCATCAGACGTAATGCTACTGAGTTGATTTCTTTTCTGAAGGAAATGACTAGTTGTTTGTATAGGTACGAAGAAGCTGTCAGTTTGATGAATTGGGAAATGCTGACAATTACGGAACAATAGCACTGGCCAACAAACAGAAAGTCAAACAACTGCTATAATTATTTCTGCTTGTGTATTACTTAACCTACACTTTCAGAATTGTAAATGCTGCTTCTTTTTTCTCCCCACCAAAGATAAAGATTGGGAAGACATAAGGAAGATGCCAGAATATCCAACTCTTCAGAAAGATTTTAGGAGAACAACGTAAGTGATGATAACGCAACAACAGTTCAGTGAATGTAGCAGATAGGCAGAAATTGGCTCCTATCCTCTGACTTTTTGGGGAGGGGATTTTGGAGTGTTGGGTTCTAACACTGTGACAGCTGTCCTGTTTGAATTAGCTGTTTTGCTTGAATGGTGTTTTCTCTCTCAGCTGCTTGTTACTGAGTGGCCTCCTCATTTCTGTAGAAGGGGTCGTCATAAGTGCCATTTAATCTATGGCAGGCACAGACAAATAAGCTTGCTTAAACAACTTGTATTAGCTGTTCAAGATAACTTCATTCATTTTGTGTGAGAAGGGATAGGGAAACACCTCTCTGGTCCTTTTGACCAGCAGATACGTGGAGACAGTAAAGTAGTGGACAGAAATTTCTATGGAAGGTAACATGTTCAATAGGTTGTGATGCAAAGCCTATCTGGGATCTGAGAATTTTCCACTTTTAGTGTTTCCTGGTGCTTTAGCTAAATTGATCAAGCGGTGGTAATAGATCAGAGGGTGTAAGGAGCAACACGGGCTCTGTCGTAAGGCAGAGGACATGGATTCAGGAGGTTTGGATTCTGTTTCAGGCTCTGCTGTGGATTCATTACGCTGGCTTTAGACAAGATATGAAGCTTATCTGTGCACGAAGCTTCTTTCTTTTGAAAATGGCTAGAGATAACCTCTGGATTTGTAGATGAAAGGCAAGGCACAGGTCATACATATTTGGGGCATTTTTGAGCTTGGGAACTATAAGGACTGTATGGTTTGCTGAAGGTTGGGGTCAGGGAGACAGAATGGTAAACTAACTGCTCTGCCAAATTGCAATTGGAAACAACTTAATAGCTTAGCTGTTGCGCTGTTATGAAGTGCTGTACACTTTCTGTGGCAGAGTTGCTTTAGAAAACTAGAGTATAAACTTCAAGTTGAGTTTCTGTCATATGCCCATGTCAACAGCTTATCCATACACTATAAAAGTTGAGTGTTCCATGGAAATAATCTGTACACAGTTGATACTACTCCTGTTAGTGAAAAGCACACTTTATGTGTGCAACTGCTAGATAAATATCTGACATGTTTTCTGATAGCAGTGCTTTTTACTTATTTACTTATTAAGGGCTAGTAAATGTTTTTGTGATCACTTGGTACAGTTCCATATTCTTAATGCTGTATTATTTCAGAAATGTCTTTGTTTAATTGTATTTTTCAGATATGCCAATAGTAGCCTCATAAAATACATGGAGAAACACAAAGTCAAGCCTGACAGCAAAGTTTTTCTTTTGGTAGGTACAACTTGAAAAACACTGTGATGATAAGAATGAAATGCATTTTTAATGGTAATATCTATGTCTGTTCTTCTCTCTCATTCTAATGAACACCGATGTTAAAGAAAGCTATTTATCATTCACTGGCCACCTTTGAGATGTGTTTTCTTCATATACATTCATGCTGAGAGTGTGCTTAAACTGCTGGTATTGAAGGTCTGAAGGTCTTATCTAATTAAGATCTGCAAGACACTTGTATACCCAGCCTTACCCTTAGGTCTGCTGTGCAAATAGGATAGTGAGTATTATATATCCCTTGATTCCGTGTTGTTTCAGAGAGCTACAGAGATCCCAAGAGCTAGAGTTTTGTGAAGAAAGGGAAGAGGAAAGGAGAAATTTAATTATTTCCTGTAGTAATTTTTTTTTTCTTTTTCTTTCCTCTGTTAATAGTCCATCTCTATTCTGTGGGCGATTCCAAAAAATATCCCTCAACATGTATTTGCTGGTTACCTAGTTGAGTCATTCATTGTAGGTGAATACAGAGTTGCTCTGTCTAATACAGCATCATTTCTGGATGCCTCCGTGATGACTTAGGAATGAAGTTCAAAGTGACTTTGCTAGTGCTGTGAACAGGGAGTCTCTGTAATGAGGCTGTTAGTGAAGCTTGAGTTCTAGTGGTCTGTTTTCATCACTAGTTACAGATTCAGCATAGCAGTCTTGTCTCTAGGTCCTGGCAAAGATTTGCTCTTTGACTTGTTAATAGCTGCTGGATGATGACACAAATAGCTGTGGAAACAAATAGGTTGGTCCCAAGTGGGTGGAAGGGGAGGCATTCACATAAGAAGTGTGAGACTTCAAGAAAAAATAAATACAATTTCTTAAACTCAACTTACTGGGCACACATTGGAATGATCTGGAGTCTAACTGAAAAGACAGCAATTGTAGGAGACATCATTAGTTATCACCTGAATTTACCCATTTTCCTACTAAAGGTGGAAGCCACCAGAAAGCCTGGTGGAAAGGCAAAGAAGCAAATGGGTTGCTGTCAGCTTATATGGTTAATTCATCAAAGCTATGAACATCTTGGGTGGGTAGGCTGCTTTTCCAGGGGGTAATAACCAGATCTCTGAAGAACACAAAACTAACCGTAGGGTGGCAAAATACATAGATACATATTTTGCCACCCTATGGCATATTATAGATTTTTTTTTTTATATATATATATATGTATACACACACACACAAAGGAACTTTTCATGATGGAGAAGTAGTGAGACAAGGTTATTACAGGGTGACTGAACAAATAGATAGGTGTCTACCTATGTATTCCCCTATATAATTGTGAGAATGAGAACTGAGATATCCAAAAGTCTAAGGGCTCTTTCTGAACATGATGAAGAAGACAATTTGCTTAGCAAGGTAGGTTCTCACTGTTCGTAATCAGGAATGAATAAGGGTGGTTTAATGGTCAACCACAGAGATGGAGGCTGGTCTCAAATAGATCAGTCTCCCAGAGCTCTGCAATAAGAATGCCCAGGAGCATGGGCAACCTTCTTGATACCTCATTGCTGCGCTGAGGAGGTCCATATACCTAAATTGCCACAGCCGTGCTACAGCAAAGAGGCTCAGTACCTGCCTTACCTTGTGAAAGATCCTAAAAACCGCAGATCTTGAAGGAAAAGTGTGCATTGCTCTCCCAAATCAAGAGATTAGCAGTGTGTCTGCTAATGAGCTTGGAGGTACATGTATTCTGAAGCAGACTCCCTAAAACTCCTTGTTCATGTCCAAGGTAGTTATGTTATTTTTTGAGGTAACCTCCATCTTGCAAGGTGACCTCTGAAGACATCTACTTTGTAACCTTCATTGGTCAAGACTTTGTGCTAATAAGTACAGAAAGTGTGGCGCATAGAGAAAATATGGCATCAAGTAGACCAGTGCAGGATAGCAAGTGACTCTTGACAAAGAGGAAGATATTGTGCCACTCTGCTGATTGACATTGAATGTTAATATCTACATGAAGGGCAGAATGTTTTCCATCCAGGAGGAGGCATCTGTTCTTGCTGTCCTGGAAAGGTTACAAGCATAGTACTTATAGCTGTCGTGTCAGGCCAGTAGAGCCTGACAGCGAGCAATCTTGAGAGCTGCTGAGAAGTATGACACTGTTGATGAAGTCCAGTCTCACAGGCTTTCTATATTGTGTTAGCAGCTGCTACCCTGAAAGCAATTGTGTGCAGCCATTTTTTATTCACTGTCCTAGGAGCGATAGAAGCTACAGAAAACCAAACTTTGTCAAAGAAAGTTGTTTCACAGTAGCATCACTGATAGGCAGGATATCTCACTTGGAGTGATGTTGTGTGTGGAATGGGCAAACTGATTATATCCTCTGAGGTGGAGGGGAATTACTAAGGGAATGAGCAGATCATTAAAAGGTCCAGGATATCTTTAGATCTTCTGCTGTGGCCTTATCTTTGAATGACGAAGAATACAGGACATGTTTGGAGGCAGCTTGTGATGAGGGCGCTATATGGCAGAAAGCTGGAGGAACTTTCTCTTGAGTAGTACTGCAACAGCCAGTTCTGAGGAAGGAGTCCAGGAGGCAGAAGCTGATGTCCTGTACTCATCTGTCAATGAGCACATCTGGTACAGAAGACCAGGAGTCACCTTATACAGAACATGAGTGTTTGTCCCTGCGGTCAATGGGGAGAAGAAATTTGCTATGCCTGTAATGGTGTCACAAGCCACTGAAACTAACAGAAATTTTACATGTAGGGAGAGGTGGCGATTTGAAATAAAGATGCTGTGAATACCAAAACTGTTGTTTGTATTCATTGTATCATGTGCGGTCACTGTGTAGAGAGCCAACAGTACATTAGGGGTTGAATTTAAGATACGCAGGAAACATAGGGTTAAGGGTTACCTGACAACACAAAACACAGCAAATAAGTGTGCCGTGCAACCTCTCCAGGTGTGTGCAATGCAGGACCATCTTGAGGTGTATTTCTGGACAAGCAGCAGGGATCAATTCAGGCAGCAGGAATCAATTCAGGAGCTGGTTGCAAGTGAACTGATAGGTGGAGAGACAGCCCAAATGGCTCTTTGTTGTGTTGTCAGTCTATTGAGGCCCATGGCACATAAAGTATGGGAATAAGGAGAGGTGGGAAGGAAGTGGCAAAAGTACAGAAAATTTTATAAGACCTCACCTACAAAGTAGGGTTAACTACAGCTATTGAGAAAGGAAATACAGCGAATCATCTTTCTTGATCAGGATGAGTGCTTTTACTGAGGCTGTTTACTGTACCATATATATAGAATACAGATCGTATTACAGATTTTTGATTTATTGGCACAAAAAGCCCCAAACGGCCATGCCAAAATCACATTCTTTTGCTGAATATCTAGGGAATTTTTGTTGGAGGCCTGGAAGATAGAGTTTGAGCTAAGATGCACTTTGCAGAAGGAATTTTATTTTCACTGTTGGCTTGAATTAAGAGTATTGTGAGAGCAGGATACTGTATGATGTAATTTGAGCACCCGATTTTCCTACTGTGAGTTTATCAGAAAAAAAAAATAACTAGAAATGGTATGTTATCCCTATAATTCCTGTTTCATATTACTAATATATAGTAGTAATTTATAGCCTGCTGCAGTCAACAGCATTCTAGCTAATAGATTTATTATTGCTTTCCTCCTAGCGAGGAAGAAAGGTTACTAGGAAGGGACTGCTCCTCCTTTCTCATTTCAATACCAATCAGAGTGGGATTGAGAGCTCGTGAGTGGCAGAGTGCTCTGACTGTGGAATGTCATCAGTACGAGAGATGAAGATTTATTGTTTCCATCCCTAAAGTGATATGGAGAGTCATGGTCATGTTCAGTCTCTCCTGTCACTTTTTTCCTGTTGTGTCAGCAGTACAGAACAGTATAAAAGCTGTATATGTGCCACAACAAAACGCCATTATTTAGAAATTATGGTTTTTGAACCTGTAATAGCTGAATTTAGTGTCGCTTTAGCACAGCAGTTCAGCCTTAGCAATTAATATTGCCTGATAACTTAACTGTATTTCTTACATGAGAAGTGCTTCACAGCCGTCGTGATGGATGTGCATTCTAGTTCTTGGGAACTTTACTGAACAAGCAATGCTAACTTAGGCTTGTCTGGACAAGCCACAAATAATTTAACAATCCACAATCCAAGACATGTAAGTCATAGTTTGAAAAATGATAGTTTGATAAGCTTTTTACTATTTTTAATGTTATGCTTTGCAGCTTCAGAAGCTTCTTACTATGGACCCTACAAAGAGAATTACCTCAGAGCAGGCTTTGCAGGACCCCTACTTTCAAGAGGATCCTCTGCCTACATCAGAGTATGTATTCCCTCTTCTGTGCTCTTCAGGGGTGTCTTCTTTCTGCTAAATGCTAGTCCCTGAAATGAGATGATAGCTGAAAAATTCACGGATATCTGCCTATATCCACAAGAAGTAGTAGCTCAGGCATGGTCAGTAGAAACTATTAGTGTAGTACTGAAGTGTCTGTATCTACTGGTGCCAGAACGGAGTGGTCGTGGACACTAACCCAGTACCGCCCTAGTGTTGTAATTCTGAACGTACTACCAAAGCTAGTGTGACAATGTTATTGCAGTATTTAGAGAATTACTCTGTGCCCTGTTCTGTTCTGCCTTACACAGCCTCACAGAGCATTGCCTGGTTTCGTTATGCCTCTCCCTAGCACTAGGACAGTTCTCTGACCTACAGCCCCTTCCCATGCCCTCTTGCACAGGGTAACAGTACGAGGAGAGAAAAGTGAAGAGATCAATGACAAATCCCACAGGTCCCTTGTTCAGAAGGCTTGAGAGTACAGATTTTATTTCTTTATATATTTTATTGTCATGAAAAATTCAAATGATATATTCAATTCCTACTGGCAGACTTTCCTCTTCCAGTTTCTCTTCCCAGTTTTCAGAAGCGTGGTGGTTCGTAGCATTATGATCCATAGGAGCTGGATGCAAGGAGACTTCCACCTTTGCTTTCACTGCTTCGTCAGCTAGCAGGCAACACTAAAAGGAGGGTACAGCCACTGGAGCGCAAAAAGGAGTCTAGTTGAGACACTAGCTGGGGTTTTTTCCTTTCTTTTTCTTTTTCTGTTTGGATAAGCCAAACACTACATAGCAGCTAGATGAGGAACTGTTTACACACTTTAAAAATCATGTCACGTTGATTGTTTTCTGAATGCTGGCACAGAAATCTAAGAAATTGATACTGGTCAAGATTTACCAGTAATTTTCTTTTTAGTATTTATCTGATACTATCCTGTGTAGAGCTATAGCTCCCCATGGATTACAGGATAACATTATGATAAAGTCTCTGCCATAACCATTAAGGAATGTTTCAAATCCCATTAGCCAGATGAATTTAAAAGCTATTTTTTTTTCTCTAAACAAAACCTGAGAAGCTAATTGAAAGTAACTCTGCAGTTGTGATTGGCAAATGTATTTAAGCTGCTGTAAGCCCAGGTGGGCTCATAAGACATTAATACTCTTTGGATCAGGCCCTTTTTCAGTGAGCCATGCATGTTCCAACTAGGTGTCGTGGAACCTCTGATGCTGTGTTTGTTCATTTTGCCATCTGGATCAACAAGTGGTCGTTCTGGCATGTGGGCATGCTCAGCCATGCCATGCTTTCTAAATGATGGCTTCATGCCAACAGCAGAGATCTGACGTGATCAGCACCTAGCTGCTGGTACCTGCTTCTATCTTGGGTGCTCACAGTGCCACTCACTTATGGGAACAGGATTCATGAAATACAAGAAATTAAATTCTGTTTATATTCACTTGTTTTTAATATAGCATTAAGTAAATGTATGTCATATGTACATCTTTGTGGAGTGTTTACTGTTTACTGTGTTTCAGTGTATTTGCTGGCTGTCAGATTCCATATCCTAAAAGAGAATTCCTCAATGAAGATGAGCCTGAAGAGAAAGGGGATAAGGTATATTAAACTCCTTTTTTTTTTTTTTTTTTTTTTTTCTTTTAAGTATCCAATAAGAAAGAGTCATGGTGCTACCAAATGAAAACTAATGAAACGTGAAGAGTTAACCAAAAATGTGTTTCCCAGGGAAGGCTCTCTTAAAACTGCTCCCCAGACAGATTAAAAGTATCAGATGACTTTGGAGTCTCTCAGGTGGTATCACCAGCACAGTTTGCCCTGACGAGTGGGGAATGAGCTGGATGGGTTGTTCTGTGAGCAGTAGCCTGCTTTCAGCTGCCATCATTCCAAGAGGACCTTGCTACTTCCTCCTGCATCACATGATGAAAATACATTGTGATCACATGAAAAGAATGGCATTTCCATTGTATGACTGGCATACACCCAGCCATTTGAAAGTAGATGGCTGTCAGAGTCTCAAATAAATAGTTGCAGCCTGCTTCTGGCACTACATCAGAACACTTCATCCGTCTGCACACAGTTTCCTGATCATGTTTTAAGGGCCCTCAGACAAAGGACTAATAAGGACCATGAACTGTCTGGTAGCAACAATCTGCTCTGAATACTCTCTTTCCCATAGCCCTGTAGACATGGGTAACAACTTGTTTGTGTGCGTAGTAAACTTCGGTGTGTTTGCAACATAATCTGACCTGCTTTGTGCGTGTAGCTCAGCTGTGCTACGTGACCGCGGTGATTGTCCCATCATGCTGTGAAGGCTGGACAATGGTGCTATAGTGTATGAAAGAGCTTGTTATTTTCACTTAAAAGTGTACAGTGAGACACCAACAGTAATGTATAGCTAGCAAAATGTGAAGAAAACAGCCTTAAACTGTGATTATCTGAGGACTACATGAGAAGGACTGTTAATCTTTTAGAGAAACCATTTGACTACACACATCTCCTGTTTTCACATTTTCTGTGTAACATGAGAAACTTGCTGCGTTGAAAAGTATGCCTATCACAATACATTTCAGACAGCAAATTTTGTTTTCGGAACAGATATTGTAGATTCTTCTGTACTGAGAACAAGTGGTAACTCCTGGATTTTTGTGTCCGAATAGTTTTTGCTAGAGGAAACAGACACCTAAACAAAAATACAATTAAAGTCATGATACTGATTTGATTGTAATTTAGTTACTAGCTTTGCTTCAACTCTCACAGCTTCAAAAACAAGAACAAACCTTATGAATTAAAATGACTCTGGCTTTTGTTAAGTCAGTGTATTTAAAAGCAAATATCTGTCTCTTTCCTGGGAGTGTTGGGGGGGGAAACAATGGCATGTTTGTATTCAAAACAGCTATTATATAAGTGGTCTTTGAGATTGTGGGGGACAGTCACATATTTATGTGCACTCCAAATTAAACTTTTTTTTAGGTAATATAAGTCACGCATTACTCATTGAATGTGTTCCCACAGTGTAGAAAATGTGAAGGTAAAGGATATTCTGAAAGTTGGATCTGTGCCATGTTTTGTTTCTTTATGATGTTGTTGCAAGTGAAGGGACTTTTTTTTTTCAATAGTGTTAGTTTCTGGTTTGTTTTTAAAACCATGAATATCTGTATAGTCCTTTGGAAATCTAGAGGAGTTCTCTGTGTTTGTTTGTTTGGAACTTGCACCTGAATTGAATAACCTCTAACATAACCATCTGTTCTTTGAAATAGTTAATCGTTAGTCAGCGAAGCTAAAATGAATGTTTGTAAAACAAAGTGAAAAGATTCTTTTCTCATTCAAATTCTGTTAGGCAAGTTTCTGCTGGATTCGGGTCTAGGTAGGACCAGAATTTCATTTTGGTAATTTGTGCCTGAGAGGTTACACGTGGTAAGACGTTGCTAACTGTAGACCTTTCACAAGTTTATTCATTAGGAACCACCATGAATTAGAGTGACCTGAGGACAATGTTTTTGCTGGCGTAAGCTGTTTTTGTGCGCTAAGGTGGTGCAGCTAGACCCCAGCCAGAGCCCGACAGAGTACATGTCAGTCTCTACCCAGGCAGTAGCAGTAGTAGCTGCACAGAAGAGCAAGCTCAGGCTAGTCAGGTAAATTTTGTGTAATATCCAAAGTGTGAAACATGGGACCTACGACAAACTGTTGTCTTTAATTGTGAGAGTTCCAGCTCTCACAATTGTGAGAGTTTCAGCTCTCACAGTAGCAACCACCTCACTTGCATCCAAACACCCCTATGAAAACACAAATTTTGGAATTCTAGCACAAATGCTGCCTTAGTTATCGGTGTTTGTTTGAATAAGTGAAGCTCAAACCATTATGAAAAGATAAATTGCTTCTTAACAATTTTTTTTTTTTTTTTTACAAGCTACCTTGATTAACTTTTAAAATTATTAAAGTTTAAATCTCCCGGGAAACAGAATCTGACTCAGATGGGGTTTGAGGACTACAAGCAGAGGATATGTTACTGGTTTTGCTAAATGTGAAATGGAAATGCAAGCCACCTCTAAGTCCTTGAAGATGCAAGGCTTCTTTGTAATCTTAAATAAACACATCATTGCAGATTTCATCTGAGTGTATCTTGGGAGCCAGTTGTGATGAATGGCATAGATACAGATCTTTTATGTCATTTATCTGAGGTAACTAAATGCCTTTTGGTGATTGGGGGCATCAAGAATTTTCTGCTAGTGGCAACTGGTTGTCATGATTTCTGAGAAACTAATAAAGTGGGGTTTTTATAAAAGGCTGCCATACGAAAGCTTTGATAATTATGTAAGCAGATAGTCTAGGAAAAAAAGACTATCCTGAAATGTTCCATACAGTATATTGGGGGGGAGGGTAGTAAGGCTTTTTAATTCAAGCCATGACAATTGTAGGTTTTTTCCATGATGAACAAGTGGCATATCTCACATTTGCAGTGAAATTGCTTTTCTTTGCAATTCTCTTATGTGCTTTAGTGCTCTGATGGAGGAGCCATCCCTGGTGCTCGAAAGCAGACAAATGGGTGGTCTTTCCTTGTAACTGTCTAACCACGGAGGGCAGAGTTGCACTCTGCTGGTTTTCTAACCTTCCCTCCAGTTCCCTAATACTTTTTTTAGTCTGTAGCCCTCTGAAGCCAGAAGAGTACAATGTCTTTTGCTCTTGCGTTCCCCTTCTTAACTTTTTTCTCCCTTTCGTGGCACTTTTCTCTTTGTCTCTCTTCCTGCTAGGTCCCAGTGTCATCTTAATTGTCTGGTTTCTCTTCCTTTGCATGTCTTCTCCTTCCCTTGCCAGATTCTTCCTTCAGCTGTTTCCTCCTCTTTCGTCTTCAACTATTTGCCTCTGGTCAATTTTCACTTTTCTGCTATTTCAATAAGATTTTCTGACCCTATACCTAGCACACCATGCTGTACTGTATTCCCAGTATACCACTCCTTACAAGTTACTTAAAAGCACAGGAGAGCAAAACAGTAATGAAACCCATTTCTGGTTCTGCCACAGAATTTCCGTGCAACCTGGAAGAAATTATATCATTTCTCTGGTCTCAATTTGCTTACCTTTCTGGCAATAATGCTGCTAACCTCCTCCGGGTTATTGTAAAGTGTCATTTGTGAAAGTTTGAAAAGTGGTTTTGATTCTGAGTGAACAAGGCTGTTGAAGCACTTAGAATAATTTACTGTGGTTCACCACGTCTGCCACTGAGCACTAGTGAAATTTTGGGGGTTTTGGTTCAGTTCATGCGGCGATTACTGCTTTATAAATGGTTCCTTCCATCCTCCTCTCTGAGCGCTTGGCTAGCTGTAGGAGGCAGTGGACTGTCCTTCCAGTTTTAATCTAGCTTGCTTTGTTAAAAAAACAAAGTGACCACAAATGGGCTACCCCCACAAAGCGTGCAAGGACGCGTTTCTCCCGACAGGCAGCCTTGCTGTGTTTTCCCATCGAGCAGGCAGGCCTGCCTCCTTCTCCACAGGCATGGTGGCACCGGGGTTGGCAACTCCATAAAGCTCACAAACTAGCTCAGAGCAAGTGACCGTGTTGTGTCGCTTCCTCCCCTAGAATCAACAGCAGCAGAATCAACATCAGCAGCAAACAGCACCTCAGCAGCAGCCGCAGGCAGCGCCGCAGCAGCCGCAGCCACAGCAGCAGAACAGCACCCAGACCAACGGGACGGCCGGGGGTGCTGGCGCAGGAGGAGGGGGCGCAGGCGCAGGACTCCAGCACAGCCAGGACTCCAGCCTCAACCAGGTGCCTCCGAACAAGAAACCACGCATAGGGCCTTCAGGCGCTAACTCAGGCGGGCCTGTCATGCCTTCAGATTATCAGGTACCTCTTGAATTGTTGCTGCTTCCGATACCGTAGGGCCAAAATGTTCTCCCCCTTCCCCACTGCAAGAACAGATCATGTTTTAATGAATTTCTCATGTAACCTGAGCAGGCGTGCTATGATATATTAGATAAAAATATGGGTTTAAAGTAAAAAGATTTTGTTCTGTGGTTAGTAATTTTCAACAGAATCCCAGTACGAGTCCTATCTGCTGCACCCTGTAAAGTGTTGAGCACTAGTCCACTCCAGGAAAGCACTTAAACATATATTTAACTTTATGTTTGAGAGTAATCTTGCTGAAGCCAGTGGAACTATTTCATGCACGTGAATGCTGCGTTAGATCAAGTTCAGGATACTCGGCTCTTGGCAATATTAAATCCTGTGTGAGAAGCAGATCTGAAAAGATCCTGAGAAGCAGAAGCAAAGTTAGAACCAAGCTCTCTCATTTGATTCCTGCTTCATTTTACCTCATATCGTCACATGTATGGAGTGGTTCTGTATGGAGTTTATTCTAGTATCTTGCTAAGTCTACTTCTAATGTTAAAGAAAAAATGCATGTTAGCACAGGAATGATGTTTTGGTTCATCAGTATGATTCATGCTGAAGTAGGGCACAAAGACATGCATTGTTTCTGATGTGACCAAAGTTTAACAGATTCCATGTTTTCCAGTACAGTAGTGTTCATAAGTAAAAGCAGTATCACCAAATTATTTTTGGATTTGCATACTTGTTTTTGCTTACTAGAATTATATTTTCCACTGAAAAAGTGACTTACACTAAATATAGAAAGCATTGAACTTACCAGGATCTTCAAACATGTGAGTTTATACCTGCTGGGGCAGGAATGGGTTGAAAGCAGAGTAAGAAAAAGGTAAATATTAAAGGTAGATTTTAAAAGATGTTAGGGATTCTGTCTGCTACTAGCCTTTGAGAGGATCCTTGGAGAATGTCTTTTCAGGCTGTTTTAAACTTAAAATAAGTAGCTTTTAAAAAGCCCAGTTCTGGAGTTGCCTTGACTTAGCCCTCCAGACCTTTTCCACAGACAATTGATTTCTCAGTGCCAGACATTTTTCTTCCATTTCTGTTTTACTCTTTTAATTACAAATTATCATGAAGGCATTGAGGGCAATTTAAGGGTAAAGACAACTAGGTTTCTTTTTTTGAAAAGTTCCAGACAGGCTTGAGGTCTGGACAGATCACTACAGCTGTCTGACGACACAGTATTTATGGCTGGCCTGTTTTGGTCTGTATTTTGAGGACTGGTGTGCTGCATTTGATCCATTATAGAATCCTTATACAGCTCTCTGAATTGTTGGCAAACTTCCCCCTTACAGGTTGCTAGCAGACTAAATATAATTTTTTTCAGATAATTAGGTTTTGGTTTTTTCACCCCCTGTGACTCTTTCCTTCTAAACTTTAACAGCACAGGTATCAAAATGATGATCTGTATGTTTCCTTTATGTCACTTGCTAAATTGTATGGTCTGATTATCCATTTTTACACTTGCGTTTGGCTATCTGCCCTTAAATTCTAGCTGACTGTCTTCTGTTCCAGAAAGGAATGTCTGCAATTTGTCCAAGTCTGACTTCGTTAAAAACAAATTCTCTTCTATGGAACAAAAATAAGCATGGGCAAGTTAATGCATTCTTGTAGTCTTATGGCATTAGTTTTACTCCATTGTATCTTATTCAGAAGTAGGAGGAAGATCCCCTTGGCTTTGAGTTTCATTTACCTTGTGATCTAAAGTCTCTGTTGAAATTTTTTTGTAGTTCACCAACCTCAATATACGTTGCTTCCACAAATGACAGTGTGAATTCCTTGTTGAATTTTACTGAGCATTCCTTATGTGACCTTGGGTGTTTTGCTTAGCGTGGTGAGCTGATGCTTTGCATCCAGAATGAGTTCCTATAAAGTCATAGCATTTATGACAATTCTTTTTCTTTTCTGTTAGAAGTTGCAAAAACTTTCAGAATTTTGAGACAAATTCCAGGTTTCAGACACTCTGTTAACAATCTAACCATGCAGGCCAAGCATAATCTGTTTATTAACAACATACATGCTGCTGGGAGACATCTCTTCCAAAGCCAGTGTGCTAAGCTGTTATCTCCCAAGCTGACCCTTACAAACAAGTGAAGTTACTCCATACAACTATTATATTGATATTGTATTGAGATACAGGGGTCTGCAAGATTGGACTGTTATCTCTCTCTCTCTTTAGCCTTGCTGTGCTTCACCTTGAAAGCAACCTTCGTATTCCTACATTAGAACACAGAAAAATAAATGTTATATTTTAGAGTTTAATATGTTTTACAATTTATGCAAAATTAAAGGTAAAAAGCTATCTACAGAAACAAAGGGCAGAAGTGTTTTACGCTGCCTGAACTTTAGGTTCCTGCTCTTCATCATCCAGCTGAAAAGTTGTCAGGAGGCTTTCGCAGCTCTCCTGGTTGGGATCCAATGGTTAGATGACACCACTGGCTGGGGTATTGCCTTCACTGAACAGATTCTTGGTTTGTGGAGGATGTGGTATTCTTACAGACCCACTGTCTCCATGGGATTTCCATTCAGAACTCAAACTTCTCCAGAGGCTTTCTGTAACTCATAATTTTGATATTTAATCAGAATGTAGCTTCTTAACACTTTTCCTAGACAATTGCTGTCTTGCTGATGACCCTTGGACGTAGCCAAGTAGAACCATCAACTAGACAGTGAACCTGACCCTTGCCCTGGTTTTGGCTGGGATAGAGTTAATTTTCTTCATAGCAGCTAGTATGGTGCTATGTTTTGGATTTGTGCTGGAAACAGTGTTGATAATACAGGGATGTTTTGGTTACTGCTGAGCAGTGCTTACACAGAGTCAAGGCCTTTTCTACTTCTCACACCACCCCACCAGCGAGTAGGCTGGGGGTGCACAAGAGGTTGGGAGGGGACACAGCCGGGACAGCTGACCGACCCCAGCTGACCAAAGGGATATTCCATACCATATGACATCATGCTCAGCATATAAAGCTGGGGGAAGAAGAAGAAAGGGGGGGACGTTTGGAGTGATGGCGTTTTGTCTTCCCAAGTAACCGTTAGGCTTGATGGAGCCCTGCTTTCCTGGAGATGGCTGAACACCTGCCTGCCGATGGGAAGCAGTGAATGAATTCCTTGTTTTGCTTTGCTTGCGTGCGCGGCTTTTGCTTTCCCTATTAAACTGTCTTTATCTCAACCCACAAGTTTTCTCACTGTTACCCTTCCAGTTCTCTCCGCCATCCCACCGGGGGGGGAGTGAGTGAGCGGCTCCGTGGGGCTTAGTTGCTGGCTGGGGTTAAACCACGGCACCCTGCACTTAACTTGGCTGGAAACAAACTGTTTGCTGACTGCAAATAGTTTTGAGGTTTTTTGTAGACTCTCCTTTCTTGTGGATTGGGGTTTACCTTCCTAGAAAGTCTCGTATCCATTGACCAGTACTTTTCATGCAAAGTGATTTTGCATCTTGCGTTATTTTGCAGCTTGCGTTATTTGCAGCTCATTATTAATTCTGGACAGGGAATGGATACAGTAATAAAAGGGCAAATTCAGCAGGCTGGAGGCCGCAAATGATCCATGAATTTGGCTTGCTGAGATTAGGGTCTACTGAGCTAACATCCCAAACATTGGAAGGAAGAATAAACATTCAGGAAAATAATGTTAGGTTATTGCACATACACATGCCCATCTTTAAGCACTTGTCCTTGCTTCCAGTAGATAAGGCAGCAGGTTGAAAGACTTACTTAAAATTACACTATTTTATCCTACTGGACATTTTTTCATTTAGATAAATTGAGTAACTCTTAGGTCATGGTTGTCTTTTTCTCAGGAACAGAATAAATTGTTTTTCTGTAACATTTAGTATTACCTACCTTGAAAAGGGTGTTTGTGGCTTTAGCAGTTTGGTTTTGCATTAATAGCACTTACAGTAATGATAGACTTAAGTTTAAGAAACAGCTGAATTTTGAAATGGAGTCTGCTCACTCTTGTGTCTTGTGTATTTTGCCTTCAAAAAATGGGTGTGTACATGCTGTACTTCTAGGTGTACTTCTGCCGGTGACCTTGTGTATTTTGTGTGCTGTTAAGGCTGACTGCAGATCAGATTGATTACTTGTTTTATGGGACCTTAAACAGTACCACTGTTTAGTCAGCTTCTCCGACAGTCACATTTTAATGAGCTTCAGAGGGGTTAAAAGTTTCCTGAGCTGCATAGTCCTAACAGGCTGGTTTTCATTCCCCTGATCCCACTCTCTTTTCCTGCAGCACTCCAGCTCACGCCTGAGTTACCAAAGCAACATTCAGGGATCTTCTCAGTCCCAGAGTACAATGGGCTATTCCACGTCGTCTCAGCAGAGCTCCCAGTATCACCAATCTCATCAGTCTCACAGGTACTGAGAGGGCTAACAGACTGCACTCAGAAAGGAACGGACTAAAAGCCAGAAGACTCCAGCAATATGAAGTTCATAACGATGAGAAGAACCAAAAATACAAACTATGATGCAGAATTAAAATTCACGATGACAAAAGGAAAACTTCACTCACTGAAGACTTCCTCCCCCCCGCCCCCTGTCCCTTTATTGCCATAAAGGAGATTCTCGTGAAGTTTTCCTTCCTCCCTGCCCTTGCATGTGCTCCATTGTGGTTACTCTAATGAACCCTTCTGATCTGAACCCAGCACTTAACTTCTTTAACCTTTGGAATTTTGAAGGATTCCTGGTGCACCTTCCTTATGCTGTAGTGATTGCCATAAATCTGTCTTTTCAATCTCTTTGATGGGATTTTAAAGTTTTAAAATCTTGAACTCCCAGGCTTTCAAGCTTGTATATAGTTAGTTTTATACTAGGCAAACCAGTTTAGCTATACAGGTATATTGCACCTTTTTAAAGCACTATGTTATTTTCACAGGATATTACTGTTTTGCTCATGGATGTCAAGAACAGCAAAATTTTACTGTTCCAGAGTATTTTACTATTCTGTTTTTATTAGTCTAGTTTTCAGGCGAGGTCTTAAAAATAAAAAATGTGAAAAATAAATAAAATTTAAAAAAGAAAAAGGAAAAAAGAAAAAACCCCACCCAAGTCTCTGCAGCGACAAATATGCTTCATGCTACTGGACTGAACGCCAAACAGAAGATTGCTGATATTTCTTAACTCATTCACACTGAATTCTTGAAATCACAGTGATCATGCTCTGACTAGTTTTAAATTAAGCATTATTTTAAATGAAACCAGGACTGTCACATAAAAAGGAGATGCTTTCAGGATCTGTTGGAACAGAAGAATGGAATGTCTTCCCAGGCTGGACACCAAAATAGTCAGGAAAATGTATTTACTGCCCTCAAGTCTCAGTAGGAATGTGGATGATGGGCTTGTTTTTCTGTTAAGCAGCTGATTAATGTATGTGAGAGTTCTATAAATTTAGCTTTCTTTACATTCCTGAGTCAGTTTTCTAAATATAAAGGTGACAGAAATACTAAGACTTGCAAAAACAAATGCATTTAATCATTTTATGTTAGAATTAATAATTAAGAGAAATTATTGTGCAGTTTGAAAAGCATGTTGGAAATTGTTCCTTTTTCATGTTTATAATGCATATTCTGTGTCCCTCACATTGCTGTGATTAACCCAGATTAGTTACACCAGATGCGCTTGATTGCACTGAAATGTTTCTTTTTCCCTAGAGCAAACATGTTTTGATTGTGCCTAAGGACTGTAAGTGGATGGGTAGCTGGCAGAAAATCCCCAGTAAATAAGAGTTCAGAAGCATAATCAGAGGATTATTGTCCAACTTCTGCAACCACAGTTATTCGGAGAGACACAACATGTAATTTGGGACAGCTTCATTTTTCCTTCAGCCTTCAGAATTAAGGCTGGCTCTTGCTGCAGAAAACCTGGAAAAATGCATTTAGAGAGCTACTAGCAATGTAACATCAGCGAGCTTCTACAACTGGTGTCCAGAGAAGAGGTGAAGTGAGAAGAGTATATATGTAAACAGTTAATATTACAGGCTTTTATACCGCAGTGTGTTCTCTTCTGTCCTGTGTCCATCAAAAAAAATTGTATATACCCATACACATTCACACTGAAGTTGTGATCAGACCCAGCAAGATGAGTAAATCTGTTTGCTCTGAGGAGAATGCTTTTCATCACAGCTAGACACATACATGCTTCTACTGGATTTGATCTCCCAATCACCTGTAGTGCCCCCTTCCTCCTCAAACACATGTTGTTTTCATACCTTTTGTGAGCAGTTGGCTTGCTTTGGCCGTATCTACCATCATGTGGTTTTGACAACACCCAGCTTCTCTGGAAAAGCAACTAAAACCTGCTTTTGTCATCAAATGGGCAAGAAGGTGGTGAAAATGAAATGAAGCAATTTGAAGGAAAAAATTATTTCTGGGGAAAAATAATCTCCCAAAGGATACTTTCAATGTGTAACCCTTGAAGTGCTACATATTATACGTACCCTAGTAGCCTGTTTGAAAGAACAGATTTTAATTGTTCCTTTATTTTATTTCAGTGAGTCTGGGCTTACATTCTTTTTGTAAGTGGAATGTCTCACCTCTTACTGATGTCAGGATGAGGTACCTTTGAGCTAATGGATATTTGGCCAATGGCATAAAGTAACATTTATTTTATATTTTTGTGACTTGAATGTCACATTTCTGGACAGAATCTTTGGCAGAGTAATTTTTGTCTCCTCCTGTTCTTTTCACCCTTCTGTTAACTCAAAATCCTTTTGTCTTTTCCATTATAGTTATCTAACACTTCTTCTCCCTACTGTGACCTGCAGCTGATCATCAAAATTCATATAATGTCAGGAGGTGGCGGGGAGACGTGTTACCATACAGTTAATTAAGGTGGGCTTTTGTGCCAATAAGGCAAAATCGTGGTGTAGATTATTCTGTATGTAGAGTGTGAAACTTCACAGCAATGTAAGGTGCTTTAATTGAGTGCGCTTCCAGCTTCTAGAGCGACTGCCACGACCTCTCTCTAAGCTGAACTGGTGTTTCTGCCTTGGTTAGGTCTGATAGATGACCACATGCCGCTCCTCTCTAGCTTTTGTGTGCACACGTGAAGCTGAGCTGACTTCCTCCATTGCCTTCAAACTCACAAGTGGGAGGAGAGCGAATAGAACCAAAAGCGTTTGCTGTGAAATGTAGGCTGTGCACACTCTTCTAGTTTCTCTTGGCGGTGAAATAATTCGCCTTTTCTTGGGAGCTTGACGCGTGTTGCCCGGGTGGGTGACAGTCGTAGTGGAAGAAGCCTTGCTTTCCAGGGGTCATCCTGTGGCGTAAAAGCGCTCCGCTTTCGGGAGTGAATCATGCAGTGTGTTGTGGGAGGCCAGGACCATGTCATTTTTATGTTATTTTTTGCCTGTGCAGTTTCATTAGTACTCATAGCTCTGTCTGTGCCCATAACCTTTACACCCTCACCAAAGTGTTTCACACCGGTACCGAGAGAGGCAGGTGGCACCGGCAGAGCTGTCTTCTCCATCCTGGTTGCCTGGTGGGAGAGCGGGCCATTGAGTACAGCTTTTCCCATCGTGGCTCAGAGGAAACAAACGCGTGGGGAATGAATGGGATGAGCAGCGTGGTCCGCATTGGTGAAGTTTATGTAGCACAAACTGCACAATGAAGGAAAAAATATAGGGAAAGCTGCGAGTCCTGCACTGTATCTGTGACACTGTATCTGGGGAGAGGGAGGGAAGAGCATTCGTAGCGGGAGGGGTGGTGGGAAGCTAGAAGTGTTCAAATATGTATAATATTTTATATAAACATAATAAGCTTAGTTCCCCTTCATAATCTTCAGGAATGGTACTTAAACACCATTAAGCAAAGAATTGTTTTAGGATTAAATAAATGTATTGTACATAAGGCCATACGTAATCTTCTAAAAAATGTCGCTGGACAGGAGCGATGTGTATTACTATATGAAAAAAAGTCCTTAATGCACTGTTATCTCCTAAATATTTAGTAGTAAATTAATACTATTTAATTTTTTTAAAAATTTGTCTTGTGTAGACACTAAAAAGTATTACACAAAATCTGGACAGAACATGTCCTTTTTAACAGCAATTTAAAGAACTTTTTATATATGTAAGGTAGTAACTTTTCAAATTGTTCTAGTTGTATTTTCCCATGTTTACTATTTGTGGAAGTGTGCCTGTCTATTCTTTTTTTTTTCCCCTAATAATTTCATGCACGCATCTTTCATTTTTGTAGTTTTCATTAGAAATTATTGTGTATGCGCCTCATGCTGCCACAAAACTTTGTGGCCGGTCTAGATCTGTGGTGGCCACATTCGGCAGTGCCCGTGCCAATGGGCTAGCAAAACCACAAAGCAAAATACTTGTTTCTCATTCTAGAGTTGAGAGTTTACTGCTTTTAAGTTGTCCTGATGTCACTCTTGAAATGACTGTTAAAACTAAACTATGAGTTCACTGCATTTATTTTGTATTCTTGGTTGTAATGAAATGGAGTTGACTTTGCTTCAGTGTGAATTTTTTTAATAAAATAATATACATTTGTAATAATAATAAAAAGTTCAAATCAAATAAGCGTGCTGAAAAGTTTTTGTAAACATTGGCTTTGGACTACCAAGAGGGAAAATACAGCCCACAAAATTGCAGTTGTAATTATATTCAGGATGTTTATGATATCATACACCACACAAAACAAAGCTTGCAAAACCTCAGAGTTGAAATTACAGCTTTTAAAATGCCCACGAGGATATTCATGGGTATGTGTCTATCAAAATAGAATGAAGCCTTATGGAAAACAGAATCGATGGAGTGGTTGTCTTAGGTTTTGCCCTCTGCTTAAAAGTACCAAGCCGATGCCACTTGTTGAGATTCATTATTACTTGCGTGACAATCCTATAGACGTGTCTTCTGAAAAAAAGCTGGTTTACTGCATTCTAAAGCTAAATGCCTTCTTACTTTTTCTACCTGCTGGACCTTGGAGGATTTCAAGTATTTCAGGTGATAACAGGGAAAGCATGAGCTAGAGCATATTGGTGGGTTTTCAAAGTGGGTTTTTGTGTGCTTTGCTAGTCTGTGTGTTTCTGTTCCATCTAACCGTCGTTTCACAGATGCATAGTTAACTTCCAAAAATTCCACCTTTCTTCTCCATAACAGTTGCATGGGTCAGAATGGTTGGGATTTACTTGCACGTTAAGAAAGAGGCTTTGGTTTCTGATGTGCCTTTTTGCACAAGGGTGAGAACAGAAGTAGCCTTTTGCCAAAAAGCTTAGTCTGCATCTCTGACACCTCATGGATGAAGAGCTGTTGCTTCAGCCTCAACACAACCGAGCATCCCCAGCTCTATACACCTCAGTTTCCTTTCTGCTTCTGCTGTCCTGTTTGTTGGTAAGGTTGTGCTTAGTCAGCAGCTTTGACTTGGATGTCCTTCTTAAAACCTCCTATGTTGGCTCTGTCCCAATCTTCGTTCTCCTACAGCATCTCTCACTGTTTTTCCTACCTGGTTATGCAACTTACAGTCTAATCCAGGCTCATCATACTGATCTGAATTATGGTGTCATCTCTTTTTCTGTCCTTGACAGCTAGACAACATACATTTCACAGCCATTTAGAAAGTTGCAGCGTAGGTTGTTCATTAGTCTCTTGCTTTGACTTGTTGTTTCCTGCTTTGCCTTACTGCCCCGGCTCTGCTATCTCTGTTGCATTAGATGTAAAGCTGCTCTCTTCTCTTGCACATGACTGCCAAAGCCTGCTGTTACCCCATCCCTCTTACTCAAATCAAGAAGTTATCTAAGTTATCTCCCAGTCTGATCATCCCATCAGGTCAACCTCTACACCTCCCATTTTAGATTTCCAAATAAGCATTTTTATGCTCTGTTTCCAATTGTCCATTGTTCCTGAAGTCCTGTGGCATAAATTTCTGAAAAATTCTCTCGTAGGTGTCTTCTGTATCCCTCATTAAAACCCTTTGACGTCTATGGAAGTTTAGTATCAGTTGTACCTATTGTGTTAATGAAAACCGTCCCGGTGTTTCATTG